TCTGATTGAAAAAACGTTCAGCATAATCTGATGAAAATGCAAAGATAGACATTAACATATATATAAATTTAAAAAAAAATCAAATTGTGGAATTCCTTTTACTAGTGATTTCTTAACAGTACATTCGATTTATTTACTTAGCAGTCACATGACCACGTGAATGTTGCATCATTTTGAATTGTGTTAATTATGAGATTTCATGATAAAATACAATGTTTAAAACAATTCTGAAAATAATTAGTGTAAATGCTACTTCGTGAAAACCTCTAATACATTCTAATGGAGACGTGAAGTAGGCACACTGATGATAATTTATGTTTTGTTCCGGTAATGTAACATGCGCAATTTCAAATTTATTGTTTCCATCTACATTTCAGAAGCGTCTGGTCTTTTGATATTTCAGAATGTGAAAGTATGTCTTTACACAAAATGGTTTATTTGAAATACAATACCAGTAAATACATTGTCATTTTGTATTGCTGCCGTTAATAATAGATAAACATCTGAAAAAAGTGGGATGCTTTTCAATAACAAAGTGTTTGTACAACCTTGTTCATTTTGTCATGTAAATGTTTTAATTAAAAGGAAAACTCTTCTGACTAGACTTGTATTGAATACAATTTATTTTTTACAATTTTATGCCTAACAGGAAGGAAGAAAACAAAAATGAAAATAAATTATTCGTGCCTTGGTACGACACTAGGCCAGTCAGCAACGCGAACATTTGCAAACATTTGCAAAACCAAGATGCGAACATTTGATACAATCTATATCTTGTACCGGGTATATCAAGTTGTAATTATATTTAGTTAGTTCTTAATTTTGTTAAAACAGTCATATTTATTTATTAAGCTAACTGGAAGGTTTGTTCTCATTAAAAATCAATTTTTCCCATTTATTTATTAGTTATATTGAGAATAAAAAAATTGTCAATATGAGATCAACGCTGAGTAGAGTGTTATTCGATTAAACTTTTATTCTGAAGCAGAACAAATTGAAAATGCAACACAACAGTAATCAGTGTTTTTGACAGATTAAAGCGGGAGGATCGTCACCTGCGCACGCGCAGGAATTGGGTCCCAAACGACGCTAAAAACACAAAGCCTGGAAATAGACTCTTGTAAGTAAATGCTATGGCCATCTGACGCATGTGCAGGTGACGACTCCCAAGACAAAGACAATTTGAGTAATCCATTCAGTATCTGATAATATACAATGACTGTTGATAATTGTATTTTTTAGCCATTCATTCATAGTAAAATATAACTTGTGACGTAATAAAGGTACTCATTTTAATGTCATATTTATAACAATTACTCTGTTGGCCAAGATAGCTCCACTGTCATATCGGTTGATTTAAAGAATTTAATAGCATTATCAACAAGACTGGTAGTTTTCAAAAAAAAGTACATGATATAATTTGTTGGTTTGATTTACCGAACATGCAGGTCAACTAAAAGAATATAGCTAAAAAGATTTGTGTCACATTAAGAAAATATACACTAAAATACAACTTATTTTGATAATACATGTACATGTAGACACATAATGAACAAAAATAGTAAACAATTGGGTCAGTGGTTTTCAAAAAGAAGTCAAAATTACCAGTTTTAGTTATAAAGTATTCATTAAAAATAGAAAATTGCAGATATCATCACAAAATGAATGAGGTTACCCAAAGACATCTATACTCCAAATATGGAAGCAATTCGAATAATAAGTGTCATTTATGAAAAGTTGAACTAGAGAATCAGTTGAATGATAAGTCTGGTGAATCTGCAGTGGCTTTGAGTATCCATGAAGCAAAAACACCCTGCAGCTGCCCTTCCAATAGAATCTATCATTTGGAGTTTTGGTGTTGTTTTCTACCATAGAGGGCGTTTATCATAGTTTGTGAGTCAATTACATCAAGTTTTTTAAAAAAAAAAATAGTGTCTTCACGAAAGCCTAGTGGAAACAATTACGGTACATCTAAATATTTGTAAGGTCCTTGCATAAGCATTCATTCCCCAACACACACACACTAGACAGCGGCTTAGCAGTACTACTCGGTATATGCAAGCAGGTGATACAATTAAACATGACACAGACTGTGGCTCAGACTGGATTTAGTCACACCAGTTTCATTTTGATTAAAAAAAACGTCTTAGTTTCATTTGGTGTTCCAAATTTCAATTAATTTATTGTGGTAGGCTTGTTTGACCTGAAACTATCAAACAGTGTTGAAAAAAACTTAGTATTTCAGTGATTATTACTGAAGATTCAATTGTAAGTGCAGGTTATATCCACTCCATGTTAATGTATCCACTTTATTTGTTCTGTGATTAGATCCATCTTGAAAATTAGATTACAGCAGTTGTTGCATTTTTCAAAATTTATTTTAATATCATGAAAATACAATCCATTGTGATGACTTGAACATTGTACAGACAAAAGTTGATACATGATTACCTTGCAGTACAAATAACACATGATCTAGAAATGTTGTGTCTATGCCTAGTACAGATGTGTGAACATGTTCCCAATGCAAAAACATAAACTATGCCTTTATGGTGAAATTTACTAAAAGGATTTAGTATTTTGAAAACATTTCATACACTTCATACGCCTGTGACAGCAATTATGAATACATAAATAATTAAAAATTACTGGGCAAGTATCTGCTTATCACTCTAGATTGACATTCGTAAACATCCCAGCCAGATTATATGGGCGATGAGGAGTATTGGTGATATTTCATGAATTTAAAAACCAAAATTGGAAATAAGGAAGTTACAGCAAATAGAAACCATACCATACATGTACCATACATGTCTGAGGTCAGTATTTGCTTTAAAGATATAACAGTTGATTGTAGCAATACGTACAGCACTGTACAAACATACATTGGTGTAAACTTGACATAAATCAGGCACTATGCTATGGTTTGCATTGACAATTTTTTTCTTGGACTAAGATATAATATATTTGAGATGAACAAAGTTTGAGAAATCTAGCCCCATTTATAAATGTATATTTGCCCTTAGTGATGAAAATGTGTTAGCACATTAATATAATAGGTGACATTGCACTTTACATAGCAACCCAAACCAGAATTTATGTTGTAGTACCATAGACATGGCATTACAGAAATGATGATGAGAGACAATCATTTCTTGAACATGTTTGCTGTAATTATTATTTTGTTCTGCTCAGGAGCAGGAATATGTAATAACTTCATTTCATATTCACATATTTCATTGGAGCATATACATACACAGACTGTAGAATGTACATGATTTGATTATACTAGTTGAGGGTTCCTGGTGCGCATAATATTCAGTTCAATTTGATGATGATGATGATGATGATGAAGTTAGTTCTATTTTCAATACCGGTAACATCTCAAAACTATGACACCAAATTAAACATTTAACTGCCAAGTCATAGTTTGGCTTGGTATGAACACAAATATCACATGACACTGGAATCCAAAGAATGGTCTAATCAATAACTCAGCTATAAACTAGGATGAACAAAATGGTGGATTTGATGACCTACTCAGATATGATCTAACACTAAAACATGCAATTACATACTCAATTCTTTGATTTGTGACAGACATACGTTTTCTCAAATTCTCAATAAACTTTTGCATAGATTATTTTCATTTTTTAAAATATTCATTCTTGCATCCACAACTAATTAAACATCATGATTGTATGAATTCCTAAAACAATAAATTGGTTCAATGAATTAATGCTTTGACATCTGCAACTTAAGTTTTAACAATAGCACTGAAATAATACTTATTTGGTCAGGACAAGATTAGAATAATTTAAATTATGTCAATTTCTGGAAGAAGATTGTTGAGCTGCTCAGAAAGCAATGAATTATACAGAAGACAGTGATACAGAGAGTAGCATTATTGTATGCTTATTATGACAGATTTAGAAATATTTTAAAATTGTTGTCGAATACCATAAAGAACATTTGGTTAAATACAAAAATTCTTGATAAATGAACCCAATAACTTAAAGTTTACAAATGCCTTTCGCAAAGTAAGGAAGGGTAAATTACTCATTATTAAAGGAACCTCATTCCCTGTGGCCATTTTGAATATTAATGAGTTCATGCATATTAATGAATATTCATACCGTCCAGCACTCTCTGTCTGCTGGGGAGAACCCTGGGAATATCTACAATTGTTGATATTGTTTACTATATCATGAAATTGACAAAATCACAGTTGTTTACTTACAAGGAAAACATCCACTAGCAAGAGGACAGCCGTCAACTTGTTGTCCACAAGTTGACGGCTGACAACTCAACATAATTTGTTACATGGAGGCTATGTTTGGACTTCCTCCTTGGTCATAATAAAATGAAATCCATGTTAGAATCTTATAGCTTTCTTTCTTCTTATATTTTTTTGTGTTTTCATTTTCTGACAAATTGACAAGGTTTAAAAATCATGGAGCCACAATTTTTTTTTCTCAGAAAAATGAAATGTGAGTTTGCCATATAATACATTGTAAACAATATCAACGATGATAAGCTTGTTACATAACTATTCAACTGTATGAGTAACCATATGCAGGGTTCTGCCCAGCCTGATTTGAGTGCCGGTCGCTAATTAATATTCATGAGGTCATTAATATTCATGAGCTAATTAATATTCATTTTCCGTTCCACTAGCTACGATTTGACTTTAATTATTTTAACTTTTATTCTAAATATTTCAATGTAAAATTAATCTGCTTTGATAAAAGTGAAAAATGTATACACTTTATTTTCACAATCACATCTAAAATATGTATTTTGAGACATTTACCTCTGACCTGCTTGACCTGCTAGCGACCAGCGTGGGCAGATCCCTGCATATGTTGGTGAATAGTGAAAGTCAACAATCTGTTGTTACCAGAATTCAATGAAATTGGACAATAAATTTATCATTAATTAATTCATAACTAAAGCATTTGAATCTAAATATAATCTGACAAATTAAGTACGTTATCGACACTGATAATTATAAAAATAATTGAAGTAATAATTATTATTATTTAATACATAAGAACCACTCCCATATCTCCTTTATTAGTCTGTGGTGATGTCATTCTCATGTTGATCGTCATGTCTGGGTCCTCTCCTTTAGAGCTCAGCTTCACAACACCAAAGTTGACGACAAGGAGACAAAACGCAGCCACTACCAGCCAAAAGGAGTAGTCAAAATGAACCCACTGTGTTTCCCAGGATTCTGCAGTATGAGCGTCATTCAGGAGGCCGTCGATGAGTGACACATAATATTCTATGATGAACAACACCATGCATATTCCGGTGAAAAGCGCTACCAGATGGGAAAAATATAAACATGTAAATCATTTTAAACAGTCTGACTACATACATCTTCAATAACTGATAATATCTTATGAAATTTACTTGAATTTGATTTAAGTTACCAAACATGCAGGTCAACTAAAAAAATATAGCTAAAAGGATTTGTGTCACATTAAGAAAATATAATTTACATCTGACATCTTGGTTAAATCACTAAAATACAACTTGTTTTGATAATAGACATGTCTTTGGCATCCACAAGTAAAGAAAATACAGTACATATAAAACGATAAATCATTCTCTGTGTATATGATAATACCGGTATAATCAAATAATTTGTGCATGATAATTTGTTTCTAAGAAAATTTTTGTTTGTTTTTATGTATTCTTCTATATTTTATTTTAATAATTTTGGCTAAAATTTTTGATTAAAATTTTAGAAAATGATTAAAAAAAATTTGTGAATTTTGTGAATGGTGGCTAAAGTTTAGTGCTCAAAAGGTTGAACACTTGAGGGCGCACTCCTCTCTAAAATACTGAATATGTTAACTTTAGGGTTCAAACATTCAAACACTGATTACAAGGTACGTTCCAGTATTGTATCAACGAATTTAGACAGAAAATATGTAATTAAACAAGAATACCATTTCTAGTACATACGCTTTTGTAAATTACATGATAAAATGTTCAGAGAGTTTCATGTGATCACAATCTCATTAAGCTTGCATATATCTCTAGCAGAAATTTGTTTCTAATATGGAATTTCACTTTTTGAGTGCCATTGTGTATTTTTCAATAATTTTGTAACCAACAGGTCTTGATCAAAATTTAAAAACAAATGAAGAAAATATAATTTTGTGATTTGTGACAAAAATTAATTAACTTTGGTTAAAAAGAGTATAATGTATCTTACCTGCCAGTCCATTCCAGATATAGAGACCAAAGATTCCTGTAATCATGCCGATTGGTACTTTAATTGTGTTATAAATAGCAAATCCTATCGTTACCAGTCCCATAATAATACCCAATGCACAAAACACTATTGTAGATATCCATAAGCCCTCATTGTAAGTGTCTGCAAGATAGTCTTTTGCTGCAAATATATGTAAATGAGATCCAATGAGATCGCGTTGAAAGTCGCATGACCTAATGTTCTCATGTAATGGTATCCGTTGTTCCATATCATGATAATTAACATACGTCAGTGGACGTGATGACGAAAGAAAATTGAACCCTATTTGAGGGGTAAGTTTGTTGCTTCCTCGTTTCAACAACATCTCGGCATCTGATCAAATTTTGTTTGATCTTATTCATATGTATTGAACAGCAGATATGTGTCTCTGATGAAATGAAACAGTTTTAGGTAAACCACAAGCCAACCTTGCTGGGTGTAATTTGTAAACTCAGGACACCATATTTGCTCTATTTTCTAAGGTTAAAATAAATAAATAATCCAGTGTGCATGTGTGTATACTGTACGTGTTCTGCAAACACCTCAGTGTGCAAGTTGCTTATTTAATTAATATTTATGCCCGTTACCACAAAAAGTTATTAATTGTCAAAATAGCTCTGCTTTCCTACAAGAACATTGCGGAAGCCAAGTCAAACAATGCACACCCATAAGACAAAAACAAAGTTAACCCACAAAAAAGTTGTTTGGTTTTGGCAACTTTTCATCAAACAAATTGTTTACAAAATTATATACACATCAAATATCAAAGCAATCGGGCTGGTAGTATTCAAAAAGAAGTCAAAAATATCATTCTTTATAGACACAAAATGAATAAATGATAGAGGTCCACCCATGCATATATATCAAAGTAATGTCAATCGTTTTCAAGATTTTGAAAAAGCAATTGTTGATGGACGACAGACTATGAAAAATCACCTATATGAATAGCTCCGCTCTTCAATGACAGCATAGCTAAAAAGAATAATTTCTTTCAAAATTTCAAAACTGAAGACTTTTATTTTACTGGTAGTTTCTGCCAAAATATTTGAAAATGGAAAGGTTTTCATTACACCATTTATTTTAACATCCCAGATTCACAAACAATTTTTCTTTTTTTTTTAGCTTACAACATTATGTCTTGTCTTTTTACCAACAAAAAAACGTTGGATGGACAACCAGACTGAAAAGCCTAAAACAAATTAGTTGAGAATGAATTGCTTTTGCACTCACCCCTAACGCTACCCTCCAGCGCTCCCCAATTTAATTGTATAAGCTCTATCTAAGGACACCTACAGTTATCTAGAGGGGATATGTGCAATTGAATGGGGAGGAGGTGGGGGGGGGGGGGCTGTGGTGAGGGTTAGAGTTAGGATTGGGATACAAAAGGAACTCTTTTCTTCAGTCATTATATTAGATAATGTGATTGGGGTATTCAGTAGAGTTTATGCATATCATTAAAAGATCTCACTATTCGCAAAATCTTCCAAAGGTGTCTGGCTATACATCATTTTATAGCGTGCAATCTCAGTGTTCTGTATCTATACTCTCAAAGTAAAAATGTTTCATTTTATCGTTACTTATCTAGATGGAAAAATACTGGTTATAAATCATAATGAGTGATAAAAGAAACCAGGTCATGCATAATACATAGGCAAGGTAGATTTTAAACATACCAAGACGGGTATTCACGTACCAGAAATTTTTGTGTGAAACGAAAAAAATTTCATCTTTGTTTGAGCATTTACTCTTGGCACAACAAACCTGTTCCATTCATCTTCATAAATATTTATCAATTTCAATGGCAGTTGAATCAAACCAGTCAATCAATGAGCGTGTTATGCAGCAACGTCAAACGTCAAAAACATTCCAATGATATTTAATCGGCCAAAGAAACCGCTTGTTTCAGTTTGAATTTGAAATTTTTAAATATTCATAAAGATAAAATGAACAGGTATGTTGTGCTGAGAGTATCTAAAAGATTTGCTTAACATCACAGAGAAGAAAATATATAAATTGATATTGATTATAATCCTAACGTTGTTGCTACTGCACTGTTTCTTTTTCATATTCACACCATTAAATATATCTAATACCGGTAATAGTCCTAATTGTGGCAGGCAATGATAATAAGATAAGATAAGTGTATACAACCAGAGTGAAATACCGGTATATATGGGCCTATATGGTTCCGACGAAACGAAAACTTGATCACAAGAGCATTTTTATCAAGGAACGCCCTGCTTTAAATTTACTTAACAATTGACGCGAAAAATCAGACAACTTACAACTCTGTTCATAACTCCTGGGTCCAGCACCCCAGTTTAAATATACAACGCCGTTGAATAGCCCGAAGTATATAGACCCGAGGTATGTCCCACGGTCATTAGGATTATCCGGAACTTTGTTTTGTCCGTAGTCGTCGGGTTGGATGTCATCTTTGTCCTGGTAGACATACGACCAAACCCAATTCTCGGTGACAAATGCTGTTATCAGAAGGGCGGTGGCAGCTAGGGCGATACATGCACACAGAAAACAGAACGCCTTTCTATATCGCAACATTGTGCATACAATATGCAGTTAATCAAATGTACAGTGGGTCGAACCAGATCGAAGACCAGCAGGAAAAGAATGTCTACCTAGTTAGTAAACATGAATAAGTTCGAGAAGACAGGGTACTCAGTCGGTCCACGAATCCGTCATCGTACTAGTATATCTCGTTGCAACAAGACCCAAGAGCAGTAAAATCAATGTCCAGACTACTTCAGAAATAATGTCGGGGAATGTTAACGCCCAGACTCAAAATGTTACAATAACGAAGTCGACACAACCTGTTGATGATCCAACCTTTGGTCTCAAACGCCCTGTGACAGAGTTCTAGTGACGTCACGCCTAGAGTCTTTGCAATTGTAACTAGCACCCAAAATCAAGAAAAACGTCGAAATATGGTTACAGCGGGCCAACATTGATTTTGTCACACCATCACACGAGTGACAATTGTTATGAATGGGTGCCGCTCCGCAGGGTAAGTCCACTATTTATCACAGCAATACTTTAAAAAGTCGCCACTTTACCTGTGAGGGCGTTATTTTATTTCCAATATTCAATATGGCGGCGCCCGTAACATTGGTCGTGAAATGGAGTGGGCAAGAATACTCTATCTCCGATTTGGGCGGCGAAAATACCGTGAGGGAATTGAAAGAAGCAATAAAGGCGCAAACAGGAGTTTTGCCACAGCGTCAGAAATTATTAGGATTGAAACACAAAGGTATGTTTTAAGTTTTCCATTGATCGGAACTTTTGACAAACTGATATTGACTTGAATATTTGACAGCATTACAAAGCACTTCCCCCAAATGTCGAAAAACATTCTTTCGATTAGTATGCATCACCAGGTTATATGGTTTACAATTACATATTTATTTTTAATTAGCTCTAGCAAGAAACTTAACTATGAGTCTATAGCTCTTCGTGTGTCGGTTTTTAGTCTTTGTGATGGTATTTTATTAATTTCTGGTAAATTTGGTGTCATTTGCTATTTTCAGACAATATGATTTTTATCGACACGGAAGAGCTATGGTTCTTCCCATAGACTTGCGTAACACATACGTGCGACACCAAATGCATATGTCGCAAATAAAAACAGATAAAAGTACATCATTTTCATAAGGCACGCAACAGAAACTATCACTCATCAATAGTATGTTTAATTTTTTGATTAAATGCTCACCAGCACAAAAACTATTCTGATTTCCCCCAGGGTTTAGCTCAATTATCCATTTTCTTTATGTTGAACAAAGACAAAATTACTCGGCTTAATGAAATCACTGTATGAGCTTCCATGGAAAGTGGAACTGCTGAAACACCAAGAAATAATCGTCAGCTACTATTAGTATTTTGCTATGAACTTCGTGGTATTTACTGTTGTCTATTTTCTCTGCATCCTACATTTATTTGTATATTTCTCTCAAAAAACTGTGGGCAGTATACGCATGCATCTGTGGTTGACGACAACGAGTAGTTCGCTTTACAGGTGTATCCAACAAGTTATCAGGAATATCTTCTCCAATGATGTCATACTGTCCTTGTCCGACCTGAAGAAAATGACTGCCACATGTAAATGTGATTTGGAGCACTAAATCTAGGCAAAAATAACATCAAACTAATGGTTTTTGTCACATTATTGACATCAGACAGCATTGGAATGAAACAACATTTGGGCAAAGCAACTGGGATGAAAGAGCGTTGGAACGAAACACCACTAAACTATTGATACTACTACCACCAACTGTTACCTGGGTTGCAGAAAAAAAGAGAAAGTTGTGAATCCAAACTTTTTTATTTTTTTTTTATTAATGGTGATGTAATATGATGTATTCTGATCATAATGACTAAAATATCACTAAATTTTGTCCAAGGGACGCCATCTATTAAAACTTACTGGAGACCCTGGGCAAACTGACAAATATTATAAACCAATAGATGAATGGGCAGGGAGTGCAGTAGAATGGATGACATAACTGGAGAAAATGTCCTGTCTTTTTATTTGCCCTGTTGATAAATTAAAAGGAGGTACTTTTGATCTTCTACAGTGTACCAAGGAAGTTTCCAAGGAAGTATGTTAGAAATTGGATAAAAACATGTTTAGTTAATAAAACCGCAGCAATGTTAACAACACCGATGACAAAATGAACAGAATTCTTTCAAATACTACTATACCTTTACCGGGTACTACAGTTGTATCGATCTTTGACACTGCAGTGTAGACAGCTCATATATCACTCAGAATTCAAATAAATGTGCATGGGATTTTGTAAACATGAATGTAATGTCAACATTCTGAGTAAATAGATTCACAAGCATTGTTAACAACTACTACACTATATGAATAGAATATTTATTGCATCAATTTAGAAAATAAATTTCTTATTCTGGTAAAAAACATTAAAATGTTCACAGAGGAAACGACAAAACAAAAAATGAAAAACAAAAAATTAAATAGATTAGGAATTGATTAGATTAATAATTACCCCAATTGTAATTGATTATGCTTAGTAGATAGATACACTTCATCTATAGCCTCTATGTTCTTCCACAAGCAAAGCAAAATGCCTGGCACCTTGGTAATACAACATAATAATATAAGGTTATTACGAAGATACCTCAAAGTATGCATGAAGACAGTACAGCGGCAGTATAGACCGACACACAGTGGAGGTCGATGCGACAGTGTACTGTCTGAGTGCCTACTTTGAGGTATCTTCGTAATACCCTTATTATTATACATCTTTTCCCTTCAAGGATACACCATGGGAATGCCGAAATCCAAAATGTTTAGAACAAAATCAGCGAATCTCTTTGTGTAGAGTCCAGTCAAACTCTGGTGGCAGCCATGTTTGTTTTTATTATTAGAGGACGTGTACGTACATAGTCATTCCATATTTGAAATTCGCATTTCCTAATATGGTAGAAAGAAAATACCGCAACATTACGGCACGCTGTAACTTATGGTGTTACGGCAACAGATGTATAATAATATTAAAAACTATAATTAATTTTTAAGCCAATTTTTTAAATAAAATTTCTTCGAAACTGATGTTCCTGTTTTTTTTCTTGGTCTCCTAATGGAAATTCCATGGTTCTCAATAATTAAAAGTTCTCAGTGTTTTGTAAAACATGATTGACCTCACCTATCTTGTTTTATGCTGCCTATATACACAGGTAAACCACCAGATGATGATATGCAGCTATCTGTACTGAAGCTCAAACCAAACAGTAAAATCATGATGATGGGAACAAGGGAAGAAGCAATCCAGGCAATCACAGAACCACCACCTGACGTGGGTGAGGTCGTTGATGATTTTGATATCGAGGAGGATGTAGTACTTATAGAAAATAGGTAAATTATTTAAAGCTCATGTAATCTTTTTTTGATGGCCAATGATGCATGACTGTGGAGTCATATTAAATAACACTGACTAAACTAGCATGTGACAAGTATTGAATCTATGGGTGTGGCTTCTTTTCCATTGTAGTGCAAATGGCAGCTAGTACATACAATGTAGTTTCTGTGTTTGTAATTTGTTGCTGCACCTGGACCCGATAACTTTCACAAATATTACAGGAAAATCCTGTCAATTGAATTTTACATGCTGTTTCCTCTATTTAAGTTTCATCAACCAACCACTTTTTCAGTTCTTTCTCCATAGACATATATTATAAAAGAGATTGACGCTTACAACCCCAGTAAAAAGTCACTGCGACTCCCAAAGACTTGATGAAACTTTCACTGCTTACAAAAGTCCCTATGACCCCAAGAATAGTGACTATGTCTTCCTATGACCCCAGTAAAAGTCACTGTGACTTCCTATGACCCTAGTAAAAGTCACTGTGACTTCCTATGACCCTAGTAAAAGTCACTGTGACTTCCTATGACCCTAGTAAAAGTCACTGTGACTTCCTATGACCCTAGTAAAAGTCACTGTGACTCCTAAGAAACCAATGAAACTTTCACTGCTTACAAAAGTCCCTATGACTCCAAGAATAGTGACTGTGTCTTCGTAAGACCCCAGTTAAAGTCACTGTGACTCCCTTATGACTCCAGTAAGTCACTGTGACTCCTTATGACCCCAGTTAAAATTACCCCAGTAAAAGTCACTTTGACTCCCTATGACCCCAGTAAAAGTCACTGTGACTCCTAAGAAACTAATGAAAGTTTTACTGCTTACAAAAGTCCCTACGACTCCAAGAACAGTGACTGTGTCTTCCTAAGACCCCAGTTAAAGTCACTGTGACTCCCTATGACCCCAGTTAAAGTCACTGTGACTCCCTATGACCCCATCAATAGTCATTGTGACTTCCTAGAACTTGTGACTTGTGACTTCAGTGAAAGTCACTCTCATGTTAATTCACACAGCATGTAGTATGATTGACACCAAACTTTTGTTTGTTTCCAGGGAAGAAAATTTACGAAAAATTGAAAATAGAGTCAAGAACTATGAAGTGAAAATTCTAAACCCTCCAAGACCTGGGAAAAAGTTATTGGTTTTAGATATTGACTATACATTGTTTGGTGAGTGTTACCATGGATACACATGAACAGAGTGAAATTTCATGGAAGGCATCACAAAATTTATAGATTTTGTTCATTAAAAAATGTTTGCACCTACGTAAAGACTTTGAAAAGTTAGTATTTAACAATTTTGATGTACTTGATGTGCATTTCTGGGTGTTTGCAATATGTTTTTAATGATACCGTACAATTTTTACACCTGAATTTTGAATAATCTACTAGTGTACAAAAAAATGAGAAAGATCTCAAAATTTACTGAAATTAGTAAAAATCACTAAATTGGGAGCACAATGTTTCATGAAACATGGCCCTTGTTATCAAATTGTGTATGTTCTTCCAAAGAAAGGATTTATTACCTAAGCAGAATATATACCTGTCGAATTTTTCAAAATTTTTTTATTTATAAAATCTATTACCAAAAGTAATATTTTGAAAATGAATAATTTTGTTGTTAGCCTTTTACCCATTTGCCATCACTGATGAATGGTACATGCTTTTATGAATTTAAAAAAAATAGCAAATGGACTTTGGCGTTTATGTGACAGTGTTGATATTTGTCTTTTCAGACCATAGATCATGTGCAGAGACAGGGTTTGAACTGATGCGACCATATTTACATGAATTTTTAACTGCAGCTTATGAAGATTATGACATAGTTATTTGGTGTAAGTATTAACCAAATCTTTTATGTCCAATACAGTTCTTGATACAAGAAAATTACTGCTATCCCAAGTTATCTTTTTGTAAAATTTCCCAAAATAAACCTGCATATTTTTTCCCCACAGTATTTTCACAAAATTTTGTGAAGACCTGTTGGCAATGGGAATGTCCAAATACATAAATATGTGGGAAATGTTTTTGTGATAATTAATTAAACTGAAAAAACTGATCAATTTATGATTCTTGCATAATAATTTGGATAATTATTCAGTTTTGTTTACTGGTGTCTAAAAAACCAGATGTCACAATAAAATAGAACACTACAGTCAGACAGTAATCAATAAATTCGGCTGAAAATCTGCACATACTAACCTGTTTGATTATTGTTTGAAATAACTCATTTAGTAAATGTTTGTGTGCAAATTAGTTATCAAAGTAGTCAGGGGTCATAACCCTTTGCTCCATACCCTCACACCATTGTGATAAAATGCTTGTCTTTCAGGTAGTCAGGATTCTTTTGGTTTATCCGCAAACAAATTACAATCTGATATACTGGTATTGTACGACAGATATTTTTTAATTTCATATATTTTATTTTATTTTATTAGTACTATACTTTTTATCATTTTTATTAGTCCCCGTTCGGACGCAGTCCGAAAACGGGGACTTATGTTTTGACCTCCGTGTGTCCGTGCGTGGGTGTGTGCATCTGTCCGGACCTGTATCTTAGAAATGCCTGAATCAATCACAATGAAACTTCACACATACATCATACATGATATTATACATATGCACGTAAATTTGTTTCACGATCTGATTCAAGATGGCCGAATGGTGGCCATTTTTGTGCCAAAAATCATCAAAATCAAGCATTTCTCGGCTGTTTACAGATGGATTTTGTTCAAACTTGGTATATACATTAGACATTATAGGACCTTGATGCACATCATTTTGTTTTACGATCTGATTCAAGATGGTCGAATGGCGGCCATTTTTGTGCTAAAAATCCTAAAAATCAAGCATTTCTCGGCTGTTTACAGATGGATTTTGTTCAAACTTGGTATATACATTAGACATTATAGGACCTTGATGCACATTTTGTTTTACGATCTGATTCAAGATGGTCGAATGGCGGCCATTTTTGTGCTAATAAATCCTAAAAATCAAGCATTTCTCGGCTGTTTACAGATGGATTTTGTTCAAACTTGGTATATACATTAGACATTATAGGACCTTGATGCACATCATTTTGTTTTACCATCTGATTCAAGATGGTTGAATGGCGGCCATTTTTGTGCTAAAAAATCCTAAAAATCGAGCATTTCTTGGCTGTTTACAGATGGATTTTGTTCAAACTTGGTATATACCATAGACGTTATGGGACCTTGATGCAAGTAATTTTGTTTTTCAGATAAGATTCAAAATGGCCGACTGGTTACCATTTTG